ACAGACCGCTGTCAGGATCCGACGCCAGCATGACCTGGATGGGATCTGAGCAGGGATGCCTAGTAGGGGAATTTTTCCACACGGTTGAACGGTGGAGTTGGATCAGATCTGGTTAATTACCCTCTGGTTATTTAACATAGCCATGGAAAATGGCCCATTTATAGATGGTTTACCTATTAAAAATGGTGATTTTCCATGGCTATGTTAAATAACCAGATGGTATATGGTTAATAAAATGGATAATTTTTTGGGATATTTTTTGGGTCTTTTAAAAACAAAACCAGGTGAATGCGGCCATGGATTCAACTCATATTGAGATTTATATTTGGACCAGTTCAATCCATATTCAAGCAGCTTGCTGTCCTTGTTGAAACACCTGGGTGGATTTGGGATCCCAAACCCGCCACATCCAGGGGGGTGTTGGGTGATGCAGTTGTTGCACTTTGGAAAGAGGTTCGGAATGATCGACACCATCGATTTGCCTCGACCGGGGAATGGCAACAGCAAGGCGCCAAGGGCGGAGATGTGGAACAGGGCGGGAATGTCTAATTGAATTTCATGGGAATATAATTTCAATGCAACTAATCTATAATGGAAAGTAATTGAAGTAATTGAATATAATGGAATTTCATGGAATATAATGATATATAATGGGATATTAATTCAACTAATCTTATTCCAACAAATAATTTAATGCGGAACAACAAAGGGAATATCACGGAATACTCATGGGGATATAATATGATATGACATATAAAACGAACTATAATCACGAGTTGGGTTTACCCTCCGGTGTCATCAAATGTTTCTGGAAAATGGCGGATTTAGTAACAGATGATGTTCCCAGCGAAAAAAAACCTCCACGGCCAAGCCAACCATCTTTGAAACTACAGGAGGGTTTTTCAAATTCTGAGGATTTGGAAAGAATTTCTACTGAGTTTTTATATTCTGGAAGAAAACAAACAGAACACTGCACTGAGGGAAACACCAGCTGCTTTACCGAAACTCAGCTGTGAGTTTCGGTGACACCAATGAGCCTGGTAAAAAGGGATCACAGAAAACTCAAACACAGACTCTGGAAATGAAAAACATTCTATTCAGAGTTCCAACTGACCCATCGTCAGCCGTCCATGTCCAGGACAAGGCCTTTGTGCCCTACCGCCTCGCTGTTACTTGTCAGCATTGCCACGTTGGATTGAAGCCATTGAAGCCATCACGGCATTTCGGACTCGTCCAGAATGGTGAACTAAGGAAGACACAGGGCTGAAGTACAAGTGCGCGTCTCAGTCGCCAAGTGAACTAGGCTTAAGATCGTTGTTGTGGATTTTTTTGGTGATGCCACTGCTCAAGATCATTTGGCACCCGGTGATGGAACGTCACATAGTTTATGAATTGAGCCATCCATGAACATTGATTAGCTTGGTGTACCACACATTCTGATTGGCTGGCTTGAATCCACACCAACTATTGAGAGGTTTCCTAAAATTCTCCAGCTATATAGGGGACCCCCATGACTGTGGAACCCCCCATACGGCATGGTTTCCAAGGCACCTGGATGTCTTCGATGTCTTCCTGAACCGGATCGGCGCCGCACTTCAGCCCGGGGCTTGGCATGTTTTCTTCTGGTGTTTTTACCCTCTGGTAATGACTAACAGTTTGCTATTGAACATGGACCATAGAAAATCATAGAAATTGTGGATTTACCATGATTTACCCACTGAAAATGGTGGATCTTTCCATAGTTCTGTTAGTTTACCAGAGGGTAATGGCAAGCTTCAGCTTCAGCTTCTGCCGTGAAAAAACTCCAATGGGAATCCCCCTGGAATCAGACGATTTGTGGCGAAAAATCAGGTGGTTGAAATCCCCGGAGCACACAGTCGTCATGGCTGATGAAGAGAAAAAGATCTTGGTTTTCATTCGAAGTGGCAGGGAGGCTCAGAGAGATCAAGAGCAGCCCGTTTTTGGGCACAGTTCTCACAGAACAGCAATGCAACAACCACCAGTAGATTAAGAACCACGTTTTTTTTTTGCTTTGGGGGGTCCTGAATTCCAAACCACCATGGAAATTCAATCGAATACTCATTCAAACTATGGCTCAAAGATAATGGCCGGGGACAGGGCACACAGTCGCTGGCGAGGTTGCATTTTCGCCATCAACTTCCATCCTTGCAACGGGCAGACGGACTTCCGAATAGACCTCCCAAAGGCCTTCCCCGGAATGCCCATACTATCACTATGCCGCTATTGCATTCTATTGCCCATTTGTCAACATTCACTAATATTCCGAATATGCCCTGCAATTTGCCAAAGCACTTCAATATTTCGCAACAATTCTCAACATTTACGCCATTCACTAATCTGCACTCATGATTTGGTGGCTTTGTCTGAAAATCCGGCACCCCTATATCCATCTAATTAAGAACATGAGTTGAAATAGGTCATTACATATTCACCCCGCTTCGCGTGGGGTGGCCGCCCACACCGCAGGTTTATTTCGGTCCGTGAGAGGGGCTAAGGGTGGTTTCCCCCCGTGGGGACTCCCCAAGCTAAGAATTTTCACTTTCCCCCCCCGTGGGGGCTCCCCAAGCTAGGGAATTTTCACTTTTCCCCCCCGTGGGGGCTCCCCAAGCTACGGAATTTTCACTTTTCCCCCCCGCGGGGGCTCCCCAAGCTAGGGAATTTTCACTTTTCCCCCCCGTGGGGGCTCCCCAAGCTAGGGAACTTCCACTTTTCCCCCCCGTGGGGGCTCCCCAAGCTAGGGAATTTTCACTTTTCCCCCCGTGGGGGCTCCCTTCCCAAGCTAGGGAATTTTCACTTTTCCCCGCCGTGACAGCTTCCCAAGCTATGGAATTTTCACTTTTCCCTCCCTTGGAGGCTCTCCAAGCTGCGGAATTTCAAATAGCTAGACAACGACGCCTAGATAGTCCCCCAAATCCTGTGTTCTTTGAATGTGTTTCCATGTTTTTGCAATGGTTTCCTTCAAAGCACGGTACTTTACACTTTTGTCGCCATAAAACCGGTCGAAAACATCATGTTCGACAATGCTTCCAATTCCCTTATCTCCCCAACCGGTGAAAATACCGCTATTTACAGTGTTTTCTTCAATTTTTCCATGTGCCAATGCCGGTAGCCAACTCCAACATATATATAAGAAATCCTTCCAAAACATTGTTTTTGACAGTGTTTTTCCAATGTTTCCAGTCAAACAGACGGTAATTTACACGTTTTTTGCCATAAAGGCAGTAAATCCTTCCAAAACATTGCTTTTGACAGTGTTTTTGTAATGTTTCCAGTCAAGCATACGGTAATTTACACGTTTTTTGCTATAACGTCAGTCCAAAACACTTGTTTTTGCAGTGTTTTCAATGCTCTGGCATCCAAAAACCCTGCAAAATCTTGCTATGTACAATGTTTTTTTCATTTTTGGCCGTTTTTCCATTGCCGGAAAAGCTACCAAAATGACCCAAAATTCCATTTCAATACCCTCTTGCGCTCAGACACCCAAAAATCCTCGAAAAATGTCGAAACACCACCGTATTCTGGTCTCGGTGCGAAACCGTTTTTGCCCCCCCCCCAGCTAAAGCTGATATAGCGACTGCTATATTAACAAATGTCATTGAGCATTTAGTGTTGCTGTTGCCCCCCAATAAGCACGCCTTCACCGCCAAAGCGGTGTGGGCGGATTTGGTTTTGCAGTATTTTCCAGCTAGGTTGGGAGCTCAGCAAATCCTCAGGACTTGCCTCAGGGTTGTGCATTTTGCAGACAATGTATGTAAACATGGAACATGAACGCACCGTTTTTGGTGCCATGAATGTTGGTAAACAAAACCAAGTGCATCCAAGTTCTATGTCAAAATATCCTCGGCCTATGTTGAAGCATTTCCAGGGGAATTGTATTGTTTTTGACGAGACCAGGGGTGCTCCGTGTTTAATTTAGATGGGGGAAGTGATCAACTAATACTAACTAACCAACTAACTCACTCAGTTACTCACTAACGAACTACCCATATAGTCTCTTGCTATGAAAAACTGGATAGTAATTACAACATGTTACTAACCAGCTCAACAACCAACACCTTTCAGCTTCCAATGGCGCCAGGGTACAGACCTTGCAAGGGAGGTGGTCCTTGTCCTGGACACAGAGGATCCTCGCTTCGGCGGGGCAAACGAGAAGCCTCTGTTGAAGCCATCGGGAAAGGCGCTGGGACTTCAGTGCGAGATCTGTGGCACTTGCCAAGTGTACTCGGGGTGCATCCCAATCCCACTTAGTAAATGGGTTCTACCCCCAGTTATATACGTATATATATATATATACATATATATATATATACGTATGGAATATCCCCCTTATACGTCGGATTATATGGGTTATATAGTTATATATATATATTATATGTATATGTACTATAAGCCGCTTACTAAGTGGGATGCACATCCAAGTACAGAATTCATTAGTTATATTGAATGACCCCTGGTAAAACTATGGTTCCTCAAGCATTCCTGGGATGCCGCGAACCCTTGTCCCGGCGCCAGTATAACACCGGCCTCTTTAAGCTCAACCTGCCGCCCAGGCCATGGGCTGGGTTGAGGGGTTGTAAGGTGGAAGGCTGATGAATACTATGATGGACCAAATGATTACTGAGAAATATTGAGAATCATGTTAATGTTGCTGCCGGTTGATAGTGATTCATAAATTCATGAATGATAAGTATATCACTATCAACCAGCGATGAGAATGGAGAAACTACTTGAAACTTGTTTTAATTACAGAATGTGTTTCGCTGGATCAACACGAATCTCGTGGCCATGTTATAACATGGCCATCTCAGTGGGACATGCCAGGACTGGCCTGGTACTAGCACCACTGGACAGAACCGAGAAAGCTTTGTCCGACAAATTGCCGGGCGCCCAAATGATGGGAACGGATGAACAGTGGCTTTCAGGATGGTGAAACCTGCCACTTAGTTCCACATTCGCTGAGAGTACCCAATCAATTTTGGGCCAAGAAAAACATGTCTTCAGACAGTGGCTGAGATGAGGTTACAATTGAGAGAGAGAGAGAGATATATATATACATATCACCGGTAAACCATCATATCCCATATATATATATATATATGGTCCCGTGTCCCGTGTTCCCACACCCCCCCCTCCCCCCCCCATGGGATGGGGGGGGTATGATGCCCCTGTGGTGGTGTAAATACATATATACATACATACTTACCTGCATACCTACCTACCTACATACATACACACATACACATACACATACATACATACATGCATAAATACATATATACATATATACATATATACATATATGCATATATACATATATACATATATACATCCATACATCCATACATCCATACATCCATACATCCATACATCCATACATCCATACATCCATACATCCATACATCCATACATCCATACATCCATACATCCATACATACATACATACATACATACCAACATACATGCCAACATACATGCCAACATACATGCCAACATACATACCAACATACATGCCAACATACATGCATGCCAACATACATACCATACATACAACATACATACATACATACATACATACAGTACATAACATACATACATACATACATATAACATACATACATACATACATAACATACATACATACCAACATACATACCAACATACATACCAACATACATACCAACATACATACCAACATACATACATACATACATACATACCAACATACATACCATACATACATACATACATACATACATACATACATACCAACATACATACCATACATACCAACATACATACATACCAACATACCAACATACCAACAACATACCAACATACCAACATACCAACATACCAACATACCAACATACCAACATACCAACATACCAACATACCAACATACCAACATACCAACATACCACCACCACAGGCCACAGGGGGGGACCAGAAGAACCAGACGATACTGTCCACCCATACCCATTGGTGGGGGGGGGAGGGGGGCTGGCCAACGTGTGTGTGTATATATGGTCCCGTGTCCCGTGTTCCCACCCCCCCATGGGATGGGGGGGGGTATGATGCCCCTGTATGTATGTATGTATGTATGTATGTATGTATGTATGTATGTATGTATGTATGTATGTATGTATGTATGTATGTATGTATGTATGTATGTATGTATGTATGTATGTATGTATGTATGTATGTATATTTATATCTATATACATGTTACATGCATTTCTCTATGATAGTGTATGTGCACGTACGCGCATATATACATATATGTAAATATGTTTGTAAACATATGGAGAACCCATCCGATATAACGAAGACACGTATAGCTTATGTACATATCTTACATACATACATACATACATAACATAACATAACATAACATAAATACATACATACATACATGCATACATACAGACAGACAGACAGACATACTTACATACATACATGCATACATGCATACATGCATACATGCATACATGCATACATGCATGCATGCATGCAGGCATACATACATTACATTACATTACATCACATTACATTACCTTACCTTACCTTACCTTACCTTACATTACATTACATTACATACATGCATACATGCATAGATGCATAGATGCATAGATGCATAGATGCATAGATGCATAGATGCATAGATGCATAGATGCATAGATGCATAGATGCATAGATGCATAGATGCATCCATGCATCCATGCATGCACCCATGCATCCATGCATCCATGCATCCATCCATCCATCCATCCATCCAGACAGACAGACATACATACATACATACATACATACATAATAACCACCACCACCCCACCACCCCCACAGGCCACAGGGGCGATACTGTCCACCCATACCCATTGGTGGGGGGGGGGCTGACCAACGCTGCACCATATATACCAATGGTGCTTAACACGGTGACATCTCCATTCTCGAACTGAGGTTGAAGTGTGAAACGGCTGACGCCCTGCTAGGTGCATAAGCTGGCCATTTGAATGGCACCAGAACACCTCTCACAGTGTAAACCTTGGCAAACCATTGTAAACCACGGTGAAACGTTTTTGAGCAATCTATTTCAGGTACTATGGTGCCATGTGCCACTCCCATCTTAATTCATGGTTCTTAATATTTTTGATCCAACCTCAACCGATCAAACTAAAAGCTGAACGCGCACCTAGGGGGCTCACTCCGCAGGGAGTATGTCGGCCTTCATGTTTTCCGCGTTGCGAACGAGTAGACAAACGCGTTTTGAGAAAGTGGCCCAATGTAGCCCAAGATGACTGTGGGTCAACACCCCGAGAGCGTTAGAGTTCACCCCCCCAAAAAGATAAGCCGACTACCTGCCACTGTGCTAAAAATGCTGCGGCTGGGGAGGTCGATGGAGGTCTTGACCCAGGTCTTGCCATAGTTTCCTGGACCAAAGCCAGTACAGTTTAAAAAGCCGGCAAGTGTCCGAAATTATGGACACTCAGATGCCTGGGCGTGTGGCGTGGCTTGAAAGCCTATCCCTGAAGCCAGACGTGTCCAATTCGAGCCAGAGCTTCTTTTCTCCACAGTTTTTTCGAACCAAATTTGTCTGCTCGACTGTCATCATTTCAATCAGCAACGACTTTCGACGGAGACGGTGCGAGCAGACATGCCAATCAGTGCAGCATTCCATCTGCGACTCGTGTCCAGCTTGAAAAAATGCACTGCGCCGACTGATCCGACTGGTCACCTTGCGGGGCGTGTAAGGTGAGCATGTGAAGGGGGCCTCGATGCAGAAGTGAAGATGTTTTGGGTTGAATATTTATAGATATTATGTGCTATATATATACACTATATAATCTTTATAGATAGTATGTATATATATATACATAGATAGATATGCATGACATATACTGAAAATAATCACACATAAAGACTACGATGAACATCTGCAACATTCTGCAACGGTTTCTGGTCTCCATACCAGGCTTGCCCGTTGCCGGAGCTGCCCTTGGCGCAATGGCAGGCAGCCGTGGCCAGAATCTGATGGTGGTATTCGAGTCGCTTCGCGACGAGAACCGCCCACACCCAGAGAATAGGACAGAGGGCAAAGAAGCGGGCCTACTTGGCCCAACCAAAAGCCGACTGGGGTCAAACTTGGCCGTCCTTGGCGTTAAGTTGGGCCGAACAGGAGCTCACTTGCGCCCAACTTGGGCCTAACTTGTGCCGAACTGGGAACGGCGCAACTTGGGCACGTTTGTGCGCAAGTTGGGCCTAGCATGCGCAACTTGGTCCTGTGCGTGGGGGCATCTAGCCCAATGTGAACAACGTGGCCTCGCGCGAACCCCCATCAAAGCCAAAAAACGTTCAAGTTGCCGCCAATTGGTCATGTTGGGCTGAAGTTGGGCCCAAAGCGATCCAGATGGGCTCCAAATTGAAGCCATCGAAGTCCAAATTGGGCCGAAGTTGGGGTCTTGCTGGCCAAATTGCCACACCCCCCTGCACTTTTTTGCAGCTCGCCCGGGCGAACATTCCCCCCCTCGAGCTGAAGCTGTACCAGACTGACAGATCGGTCCATTCGTATCACTCGCTGCTAAACTACCACGCCTCGGCACCTTCGGTGCGGGCGGAGGTAGACCATGGGGGGTGAGACCATATATATATATAATATATATATATATTATATATATATAAATAATATATATATATACACATACACACACACATACACGCTCACACACACAATCTTGGATAAATTGCAATGACCTCACGTCGCGACATCACTGGAATGATGGGATTTGAATTTGATTTGGGGAATGTCCTGTTTGATTGGGGGGGCATAATCATCGGGAACATGATTCTCTCAAATGTTGTCTTGTTTGGGAACATAGGTTTGGATTCTACCACAAAATCATGGGTTAGGATATTTATTTGGCTCAAATTGTTGAACTGTTCTTCACGTCACACCTTTTTCCTCCAAATCCTCGCCCCACAAACGAACCAACCATTCATGGGTACTCGTCGCTCAGCCAACCGCATGAAGAGAATGGTGCCGACTCCCATTGTGCTGATACTCAGCTGACAGGTCTGTTGCAAGTCCCCCTAAGGGGCGGCATGCAGCCAGTGCCCCTGTCGCAGGTCCAAATCTGAGGCAGTTGCAGCTGGGAAGGATTGGGAAGGTACAGAGTTGCCATGTGCTGACCAACTCAGGTGGTGAATCGTGGAAGTAGTGTGTCCCTGCCCGGCCGTGCAGACCTTGGCTTGTTGCACCCATGGACTGCTTTCCCAGTTCCCAACTCGCCAGTTTAGTAGCGAACTGTATCGTTTCCGCCTGCTGTAAAACAACATTTTTTGGGATTCTCGATACCAGCGTTTCAAAAATTCACGATGTTGGAAGCACTCTCCAAATGCGAACTGACAGATGGTCCACGCATGGTATCATGGGTTTTCCCTATTGGATGATTTGGATGTATCAAGTTTCATCAACGATCACCGATTTCCACCCAGGTCCTTGTGGCAGTCCTTGGGGCACACCCATGGCAGGTGCAGTCGTGACTTTTTCCGGGGCTTAAGCCGAAGTTAGCGGTTTTTTTGAAGAGTTAGTGGGTTAATGTATGTTACTGTTACTCTATGTTAATATTTTCTCAGTGGTTTCAATCACTTTTTCCCATGGACGAAAATGCAGAGGTTCACTTCAGCTGCCTGGAGGATCAGTTGGGAGCCCAGCAACTGGCGGTCTGGCGGCCACTGACACATGTATTATCTATATATATATAATTATATATAAATATTTGAGATATAGTTTTATGATAGGTAGATGTATGTCTACACTGGGTGCCCTTTTTTCAGCGAAGCCCAGCCCCGGCGCTACGAAAATTTGCCCCCGCCCCGGCTCGGCACTTTTTGCGATGCGACCGGCTGAGCATGTCTGACTTGTTACACAAGCTAAACCTCGGAACACACATACACACACAGATATATATATATACATATCAAATGTTTTTTTCGTTTGCAAATGATATATGGGTTATATATATATATATATGTAAATAATAACGTAGATGTATATGTATCTATATATTTGTGCGATATATCTCCGGGAAAACTCATGCCCAAGGTGGTGTCCACCCCCAGCCAGACGCCCCGGAGCGGTCTGGGCGCTCAAGGGGCCTGATTGTGTTTGAAAAGGTGTTGGTGAACTAGTGGTATTGAAGAATTAAGATCATTCAGTTTTGTTGAACTAATTGAATTCTAACTAATTGATGAAATCGTTCCAATCGTGTTTGTATTAGATCATATTAGATCTATTTTTGATTTATGACTCTGTTGCTTATCAACCTTGAGCAAAGTGTTGGACAAAATCGTTGTTTCTTCATTTTTGGTCCTCATGATTTGGTCGTACTCTCATTGATACTGGGTGCTGATGGCAAAACCGTTGAAGCAATTGGAACAGCCACGATGGACCAAAGAGACAGGAACAGAGCCTGATTGGTGGGTTGATGGTGACCAAGGTTTCAATAGCTATGATTGGAACAATCCATCCATCAACCCACCATTCAGTTGCCTATCATTTTCTTGGCCTGACTGGTTGATCGATGGATGACCAAGGCTTCCTTCCGATCCCCGCCGCGCGTGCGCAAGCCCTGGCCCAGATGGCCCAGATGTGGGCTTCATCGATGCGGGAATTGGTTGATGGCTTCATCCATGGCCAATTCTGACCGGGAACATATGGGCAAATGATGATAAACCATGGGATGGGTCGTGGGGTTCTAAGATTTGGGGTCCAAGCCCAAGCATGATGGAAACAACCCATGGACCACGTGGACCCGGTGGACCTGGTCCCAGGTCAAGCCTGGCGGAATCCAAGCGGGGCGCCCAATTAGGGCGCCCAAAAGGAATGGGATTGTCTGGATCAGTTGGGGTTAAGGTTACCCTCTGGTTATGACATTCACAGTTTGCCATGGCTTTTTGATGGCCCTAATCGAAATAGATGGTTTACCAGTTTACCGTTCTTAATAGCATGGTGATTTTTCATGGTGAACTGTTAAATAACCAGATGGTTAAGTGTATGAAGAATCGTTGTGCGATGACAATAGGCCACTAATATCCACTAATCCATATCTCCCCAATCAGAGCCCAATAGCATGATCATAATAACCGTACTCATGATAACAGCTTGGACAGAATGGTGACATCCAATGCGATCAATTAAAAAACACGCACAGAGAATCATCAACGAATACGCCGCAAAAATATTCAAACATAGCAAACATATATATCATATATGGGTTTGTCCAGACAAATCGTGGTTTTTCCCTTAAAAATCCAGTGCTTTACCATCATTTTCCTTAAAAAAAATGGTCATTGAGGCGGTGCCTGTCGGCTCGGTGGCTGGAGCCTCTCCGGTGTCCACCATGACCACCACACCAGCCGCCTGCCGCGATGTTTTTTGACCGTGGGATTCTTTTAGTCAGAGAATGTTTGTTGAGAATTCAGAGGATGTTGATTCTACAGTCAACTGTTTTAATCTGTTTTATAGTTGGTGAATTCTAGAATATTCTAGATCTGTTCCTGGAATAGTGAATTATAGTTGGCTTTGTCCAAAAATATATAACTGGTTGGTGGTTTGAAACATTTTTTGTTTTTCCATATATTGGGAATAATAATCCCAACTGACTTTCATATATTTTTCAGAGGGGTAGCTCAACCACCAACCAGATAGATTAACCACAGATAAACCATAGATAAACCATAGATTAATTAACCATTATTAACCATCATTAACCATTAACCATTAAGGTGTCTCAAATCTGGCCAATCTGGGCCCCTGACGAAATCTTCGTTAAGCCACCGAGGTCTCCCAGATCTCGGAGGTCGAAACAACACCCACCGAGGAGAAACGATCGAGGATCAAGGTAGGGACGACCGATAGTGTTTTTCGTGGATCAATTGCTCCCAGCGATGATGGTTGATGATCCACTATCAAGCAACCAACCAACCAAGCAATCAATCAATCAACCAATCAATCAGTCAATCAATCAATCAATATATATATATATCACCCATGGCTTTCCAATTTACAACCACTAGCAACCAAGAATATATCTACAACATATTACAACTTACTTCCAACACTATATGGCTTATGATTCGGTTGGGCCATGGCTTTCATAACCAAAAAAAACATGTTATTCTAATCATCAATAGATTGACCAATATGTAGATATATTGGTTGTTATTTTCCAACATACATACATATATTTATATATATATACATACAATGATAACCATATTAATGATATATAACTATAACCATATTAGTCAGAACAATATGTTATCATAACCATATAACATCATATAAACATATCCCATTTCCAACATATATATATATTAATATGGTTATATATAAGAACCATATATAACCATAGTGCTCGCATCACCATCGTTCGCCCGCCAGGTCGGTGCGCCGTTTGATGTACCGAGGGCCTCCATCAGAGCCAAGTCCGTGAGACCCATGGGGAAACCATGGGGAAACTGTGTATATACACAGTGTGTATATATATATATACAATGTGTGTTTTGAATACTGTCTGTATATTAATGTATTATATATACACATATACATTTAGATGTGTATAATATATGTATAGTGATGGACACATGCATGCATAGTATCAGTACATCATTTGTAAGTACATTACATCAACACACGTAGTTTTTCATAGCAACACATCTTTGGGGTCCAGCTACTATAGACGGTTTTTTCATGAGGTGCCCCTCGTGGTCGGATACTCCAACGCCCAAAGTTTGGCGGGGGGCCCTTGCAGATTGGATTTTGGGGGTACCCTCTGGTAATGAGTAACAGTTTGCTATTGAAAATTGGCCCATTTGGTTCGTTGATTTACCTATGAAAGTGGTGGATCTTTCCATAGTTATGCTACTCCATAGGTGATTTTCTACTTTACCAGAGGGCACTGTATCCTATTGACAAGATGAATGTTGCTGGAATATCCCCAAATCCAGCAGAAAATGATCCAGTTGAAACGCGAACGCAGGCATCCCAAGCGCCCTGCTCAGCAGTGCGAAGGAACAGGACAGGAGGTTTGGGGAAAGTGACGATCAACCATCAATTTTGAAGGGCTTTCCCAGCACAGATAGACACCACAAAGCCAGTTTTGTACAGAAGTTTGAAAGTGTTATACTCCATCTGAGTGGATGTTGCGGACTTTGCTTTGACCACTGCAAATGTCGACGTAGGAGAAAAGACCGGCAATGTGCTGCCTGGCTGCACTGCAGCATCAGTGTTGATCAAAGCAGCAGATTTTTTTCATTTCTAAAATGTTTGTATGACACTGTATTTGTTGTAACCACGTTAAAAAACACTATTTTACACAGAGACACAACTCAAAAGATTACTTTCCTCATATTCCATCCTGGTGTCATGTGTGTCCATGCCAGACCTCAACTTTCCCACTTTCCCAAAAGGTCAAAAAAAGAGAAATCGGCTGGGCGCTTACATCCAGCTGCAAAGAATGATGGCAAATTTAGCAGTGGCTCCCTGTTGATTGATGATTATATATAGGGGGTTATACTACCCAACAGATTTTTTATTGGTGATTATCTTCACACATATGTATATATATATATCTACAATATATATATATATATACATACATACATACATACACATCATATACATACATACGTACTTACATTGTGCATACAATGCAATGCAATGCAATGCAACGCAACGCAACCCAACGCAACGCAACACAATGCAATGCATGTCAGAATCTGAACTTGTTTGCTTCGAATCCCTTTACTTCAGTGCCATGTCTTGCAGGTCCTGATCTTTGTCTTCGATCTCCACTCTTGGCCCAAATGCCCAATCGCAGGGGACCCTTTTGCCTTTGTGCCATTTGCATGGCCCAACAGCTACGCCGAGCGCTCGTAGCCGGAAAACATCGTGTGTTTGCTGGCATTTTGCGATTTGCATCAGTGCATATCTCCTTTTTGGAAACAATCGAGCTTCCATCCTTTGAACTTGGCGTTCAACCGTGATAGCATTGGAATCTGATCATTTCTTCAAGAGAAAGCACACAGAGGCTTCAGTGCTACCAATACTGGTAGGCGGAGCATTTGGTCTTCGTGACCGGGGCTCCGTGGTCAGGGTTGGTTCTGGTTTGATTGGGTGTGGTAAGAGATCTGGCCTGTTCGGCGGTTCACTTAGTGACCATTTGGCCTTGTCCTTTACTTCACTCGCTTGAGCTTGGACTAACTGGCGAATTCATCCTTTTCCTTGCCGAGAACCTTGCGGACTGTTTTGTATAGCCAATTTTTGTGGCATGACAACTTTCACTGAGAAGAAGGACCAAGTGGCAACGTGGGACGGAAACCCGACGTTATGGTTGGATTACGTGAAGCGGGTCCGAGTTCAATACGAGCGGACGGAAGTGAAGAAGAGACATCTTCTAGGAGCTGAGCTGGCATCCCGTTTGACGGGGAAGGCATGGGACATTGTCAGTGCCGAAGTTGACCATGGACAGTTGCAACGCCGAGATGGCCCTGCATACCTCCTGCGTTTCTTGGAGGATAGACTGTGCAAGGCGCCTGTGCCTGATACAGGCCAAAGACTGGAAGATTTCTTTCTACGTCTTCGCAGAGCTCCAGGTTCAAGCATGGCGGAATGGGCCACACAGGTCCGCGAGAGTTATCGCCGCCTCCAACGGGCGATGGCTCGACAGCGGAAGGATCTAGCTTCCAGAGTTCCCCCAACAAGGTCCCGTTCATCGGGCGAAGGGGATCGGCGCAATGCTTCTGATGTGACATCACCTCGTGCCAATACTGACTCTGGAGTTAGATCCAACCCTGGTCATGGGGTTCACGAAGAGCCTGACGATCCACAACCAGCTGGGTATGAGCCTGTTTCAACAGATGACCCTGATGCCCGCAGCAACAATGATGGTTGGACAGCAGAAGAATGGGAAGCATGGTATTGGCAACGTCGCCGTCGTGATTGGGATTCTGAATCAACGGACTGGTGGGATGACACCCCAATTGAGTGGGATCAATTTGACTTCAGCACAGAGCAAATCCTACCACAAGAAATTTTGGGATGGATCTTGTTGAGGCGTAGTGGCTTGCCAGCCAATGCTCGCCTTTCTGTACTGAGTGCCACCAACAACCGGTTAGATTTGGAGTCAATGGAACGTGCGATGCGAGACCAAGAAGAAGAACTACTTGCCGCCGAAGCTCAACGTTTGCGTGGCGACCATGTGCGGCCGCGCCGCTCCTTTTGGGTTGAAGAGAACTCGTCTTGGGGTATGCTGCCTGACAATGAAGGCGATGAGGTAGATGAATCCTCCATACTCTGGGTAGGGAGAAGCTTCCTCCTGATGTTTATGCGGCGGAAGAGCCCGAGACTGGTGCAGCATGGTCCACCTTTCTACCTGATGGTCAGGAACTGGTGTGGGAATGGCATGATGACGATTTCTACGCTGCGGATGCTGCAGGTGTTTTCTGGTCATGGTCGGAAACCAAGACGTGGCTTGATCTGCAGGACGGTGGTGCTGGGGATCAACCTCTCCAAGATGCTTTTGCAGCTTTTCAAGATCGTTTTCGGTCGTTCAAGGAGAGTAGAGCTTTGAATGCGGCCAAACATGTTTCTCGGGGTTTTTATCCCATTCAACCACTGAAGGGTAAGTTTAAGGGTCAGATGAAAGGAAAGGGTAAAAACAAAGCAACCAGCAAATCGTTGCCGTCAAGTCCTACGGCATCCAGTTCTGCAGTGCTTGGAACTTTTGGTGCTGGGAAGGGCGGCACTCAAAGACCTGGTCACCCTGAGTACAAAGGATGTTTTATTTGTGGTGCCAAAGATCATGACTTTCGACGGTGTTCAAAGCGTAGTCAACCCTCATCATCCTTGGTTTCCTCTTCACCTACATACTATGGTAGCGGGATCTATATGGTTACTGTTGAAGATGATGATGGTGATGCAATGGTAGGACCTAGCCCCGATATTCTTGCAGCAATGTCAGTGGAATATCCTGGTCATGCTGTTTTGGATTCGGGGGCCACTGAATCCATTGCTTCGCTTGAGGCCCTGGAAGAGATTATGGTGCTTCGCTCCAAGCGACATGGCCATGAAGATGTCACGGTGCACCAGCGTCAGAAGCGCTTTCGCTTTGGCAACGGCACCTACCAGCAGGCCGTGTCTTTTGTTGAGGTGCCCCAGGTGATCAGTGGTCAAAAGGTTCCCTTAGGAGTTCATGCTTTGGATGCCCCAGGAATACCACTTTTGATTTCAGTGAAAACTCTCACCAAGATGCAAGCGGTGATTGACTTTGAGTTGGCTAGAATTTGTTTCAAACTAGTTGCACCAGACCTTTGGATACCACTCAAACGGGCCCCAAACGGCCATCTGCTTTTGGACCTCACGAAAGATTGGGTTCCGCAGAAGAGTGGGGAATCTTGTCTCACATGTGCAGCAGCGGATGACTCAGTGCCCTCCGCCTCGTCGCAGTACAAGGGCGCGGCGGCTGAATCGTTTGATGTGAAGTTTGAACCTATTTCATCCAGTTTAAATTCCTCTCCAACTTTTTCCTCACCATCTTTTGCGGCACGTGCAGTTGTTTCCTCAACTCCATCGGCATCACATGGCACAGCATGTCAGTTTTCATGTGGCTGTTTTTCAACAACTCCTGTGGATGCAGTTCACAAACATGATGCAGTGAGGAGTGAAGAGAATGTGAGACATGGCAGTGAAGAATGTGCATCAACCACCAGTGCGAATGCTGCTGACTCAGGCTCAAACATGCGAGTGGCCTGGCCACTGGTGATTGCGGCAGCTACTGCCCTTACGTCAACATCCTCTCCAAGTCCCTGTCCAAGCCATGTCCAATTCGAAAGCAGCTCCTGTGCCAAAGGCTGTGTCTCCACCGACACCGCCTGCCACTTCAGAGATGACCACAAAGGAGACTGCAAAGACCAAATCAAAGAAGACACGAGTCCCAACTCCGGAAAGATTCGATTTTTCCAGGAGGGAAGGTCCGGACGCCAGAGACAGCCGGGCCCAGGGGTTCCCATGTTATGGCAATCACCTTCCAATGCCAGAAGGGAGGGGCAGCCTATCGGGCCGCAATGCCCACGCCAAATGGACTGTTTGCCAAACATGCAGATTGAGGATCGAATACATTCCCAGCTTTGGTGCAACCGGAGTGTTTCGCCAGGCCGGGCCCTTGGCCCCAGATGTGGAAGTGGCAATGTCTCAAGTGAAGGAGGAGGTGAAGACAAATCCGGCTGCCAAGGAAAAGCTCAATGCCAAGGCAGTGAGCGTCATTGGCGCCGAGGAGTCGCTGAAGCAGCGCTTGCAGAAGTTGGAGAACGAGCGCATCAAGATCACCACTCCGAAGGAACGTCCTCAGGCCAACACCAATGCACCGGGAGCCCCCGCTGCATCCCAAGCCATCGACCTGACGGACGAGCAGATGAAGACAGCCCCAGGCAAGAAGGCTGCGAAGAGAGACAATCCGAAGGAGGCCGAGCAGCAAGAAGCAGACGCCTGGTCTGTCTTGAGCGAGCCGGCATCTCCACCACAGTGAATGACATGTTCCATGTGGAGAATGCGGTTTCTGAAGAGCTCTATGCCCCTGCGTATGCCAAGCTGAATGAAGAGCAGAAAGCCCAATTGGAGCAGCACGGCACAAACTTTGTGGCTGACCTCAATGAGGCCTTTGAGGAGATCCTTGCAACCTCACCGCAGGTTGACCTCATGGAAGTGTGCTGTCCACCTGATAGCACCCTTGTGGAGACTTTTCATGAGCGTGGTCGTTCTGCTATCCGCATTGGACTGCCAGCCCTGGATCTATCTACAACAAGGGGTTGCAATGAACTCTTGGATATGGTGTCGCGTCACCGACCAAAAATTTTGTGGATATCTTTGCCTTGTGGTCCATACTCCCCCATTCAGACGCTCTTCAACGAGTCCACTGAGGAAATGAAAGCCAAGAGCATGCTACGTCAGAAGAAGGCACGCAAGTTGATCCGCAATGGCCTGCGTGCTGCATACCGTCAGATTGCTCTAGGCGGTGATGTGGGATGGGAGTGGCCGAACAACAATGGTGGGTGGCATGTATCAGAAATGCGTCATTTCATTGAGTACCTCAAGGAGTTGCACAAGTTTTTCTGCGCCAAGGTACATGGATGCTCCTATGGCCTTGTGAACACCAAGCAAGAGTTTGTGAAAAAGCCCTGGAAGATTGTATGCACGAATGAAGCTTTGGCAAATGGTTTGACCCGACAATGCCCTGGCGACCATCCACATGGAGAATGTCTGGGTGGTCATGAGGCCCGTGCATCAGGCTTCTATCCCAAAGCTATGTGTCTTCGCATTTTCCAGGTGGTTCAATCTATGATTCATGGCACAGACTATGATGTCTTCCCCAAGGTCTTCCCTGTGTTTGACGACACGATCATGGAGGAGCCAGATGCTAAGACTAGCAGCTTGGTGCCTCTGAGTGACATGGAGAAAAAGAATGTGGAGAAGACTTTGCACAAACTCCACAGGCGATCAGGACATCCGTCCAATCAGGCGCTGGCAGCTTGCTTGCGTCACAGAGGAGCTCACCCAGAGGTGATTTCCATGGCTTCGCGACATCAATGTCCAGAATGCCAAGAACTACGTTTGGCCACCAACAACCCAGTTGGTGCTCTTCAACGCTCCGAGGTGCTGTGGGAAACGTTGGTCATTGACAACGCTGAGTTCCCCATTGACGACAAGGTGTTGCATTGCATGATTATGGTTGATGAAGCATCGAGATTGGTATGCCCCCATTTTCTTTTCCAACACCATCAATCTGAACATCGCAACTGTTCAGGCCCTGAAGCAGTGCAAGCTCTGCAGGACACATGGGTACGGCACTATGGAGCTCCAGCATCCATTCGCTTGGACCCTGAAGGAGCCTTCCGATCCACCGAGCTCATGACTTGGGCAAGTGAACGTGGTATCGAGATTTTTCCATGTGCAGCTGAAGCCCATTATCAAATTAGCCTTGTTGAACGCACCATACAAACAGTGAAGAACACCACAAAGCAGCTTCTTCAATCAGGGGAATGTGATCCCTGGCAAGCCATCATTCAAGCCTGTCAGGCTCACAATGAGATGGAACGTGTCCATGGCTATACGCCATATCAATGGGCGCTTGGTCGCCAGCCAACTTTGACTGGCAAAATGCACGACCAAGCCTTTGACGACCCTTTTTGGACATCCTCAATGGTTCCTGGCAGTGAGATGGCCGCAAATCTGAAGATGCGACACAAGGCTCAGACAGCCTTTCTGAAATCTCAAGCCCAAGAGCATATAAGCCGAGCTATGAATGCCAAGACCAGACGACATCAAATTTTTCTTCCTGGAGATTTGGTGTATTTCAAGCGCATCAAGCCTCCGGCACAACCAACTGCAGCTGTGAGGATGCCACACAAACTTTGGCAGTGGTATGGTCCAGGCCGAGTTCTGGCCACAGAGACCAGATCGGATGCGCTGGGCCGTGAAAGACGTCCGTCACACATCATTTGGATCGTGACACATGGACGCCTCAAACGCTGCGCGCCAGAGCAATTGCGCCATGCGAGTGATCGTGAGAAGGCCCTGGCTGAAGGTGCTGATGCTCCCACAGCGGCATGGACCTTCCATAGCTTGACTTCAACTTTGTTCAAGGGCGAATATGAGATTTTGGATGACATGGTGCTGGCAAAAGGACCGCCACGTGAGTCAAGGCGCGGCAGATCCCAGACACCTGGACGTTCACCGTCGCCTGCTCCTACCCGTGGTGTGAGATCCAGAACACCAGCAGCAGTGACTCCGATGCCACCAACTTCAGCGGCTTCCAGTGCCAGACCTGCACCATCGACGCCTGCGCCCTCAACACCGGCGCCTGACCCTATGCAGGATGAACGAACATTGGCCGAATTGCAGGCCGACTTGATGCCAAAGGCCCAGAAGCGAGGACCAGGCAGACCTCCGAAAGTGGATCTTCAACGTTTCATTCAAGATCCTGCCTACAATCCTCCACCTGGACAACCACCGCCACCAAGAAGCACGACGGAGCTTTTTGAACAGCCCCTGTTCAAGAAACAGCGCAAAGAGCATGTGGCAGTTCAGAACTTCTTTGCGGACGATGAGGCCGCGGAGCTCTACATGTGTTGCATGGAGTTGGAAGTGCCAAAGACTCATGGCGAGTGGAAGAAGCTTAAGCGTTCTCCCCAAAGCTTCTATGCCAAAAAGCTCAAGGGGGTGGAGGTCAAATGGCATTCCTTGAGTCCTGAAGAGAAAGCAGGCTTCGACAAGGCAAAACAAGCCGAAGTGCAACAGTGGCTAACTGCAGCTGCTGTACGTCGTGCCGCTCGTGACCAAGTTCCTCAAGATCGCTTGGTTCGCATGCGGTGGGTGCTGACCTATAAGGACACGGGGCAACCAAAAGGGCGCATCGTCCTTATTGGTTTTGAAGACCCGGATTTGGAAAAGATTCAGTCATCTTCACCTACCATGTCCAGGCGCACCAGACAGCTTGCTCTCCAGTTCTCCTCTATTCGGAGATGGCGGACCCTGAAGGCGGACGTTCGCGCCGCCTTCCTCCAAGGAGAAAGTGGTGAAGCTACGAGAGCTCTTTTTGCCAAGCCAGTACCCGAACTGGCAGCTGCGATGAACCTTAAGGAGGACGAAGTTGTCCAGGTCTTGAAGACAGCCTACGGTCTGATACACGCACCGGCAGCGTGGTACCAATGCGTCAAGAAGACCCTGGCAGACCTCAACTTCTATCAAAGTCGCAGCGATCCTTGCTTGTGGCTGTTCTATACCACCAATTCTGAGAACAAGAAGGTCACAAGCGGCTACATTTGCTCTCATGTGGATGATTTCATCATTAGCGGTGACGAAGAGTGCGATGAATGGATCGATGCACTCAATTCCTTCTATGCCAAGTTCCGCTGGTCTCCCTGGGAATGCAGTAGCTTTTTGCATTGTGGAGTGCGAGTACGGGAAGAACCAGACTTTAGCTTCACCTTGGATCACTCCTCTTTCTGCGAGAGCATCGAGTCCATCACCTACACAACCAAGAACGATCATGATCCTCTAACTCCAGATGAACTCACACAGCTCCGTGGGATCTTGGGTGCGCTGCAATGGAGAAGCCAACAAACGGCACCTCACCTGATGGCAAAAATTGGCCAACTACAAAGCGCAGTCACTCGCGCCAACCTGGACACTCTGAAAGCTGCCAACAAACTGGCACGAGAATGCTTCCAGACCAGATATCTGTCCACCCGCATCAACCAGTTGAATGTGGACGACCCTCTCCAGGTGAACTTTGTAGCTTGGGCCGACGCCGCCTTGGCGAATCGTGCAGACTTGAGCAGTACTGGTGGATATGTCATATCCGCCACCACGCCTGACATGGTAAAGGGTAAGAGATCCCCTCTAACTCTCATCTCTTGGCGTTCCTGCAGGCTTCCCAGAAAGGCAAGATCTTCCTTGGCCGCAGAAGCTCAAGCAATGGCCGAAGCCGACCAAGAACTGGTCTTCATTCGTTTAGCATGGGCTGAGTTTTGCGCTTTGGAGATTGACCTGAAGGTTCCTGAGAGTGCTGTGTCCAAAATTCCCGGTGTAGTTGTCACAGACGCTAAAGCTCTTTTTGACATTTTGTTGAAACGAGATTTGAATTCAGCAGGTGTTGTGTTGAAGGACAAATACTCTGCACTTGAAATTCTGTGTCTGCTGGAATCCTTAGAGAAGATGCAGACAACAGTGAGGTGGGTGCATTCTGATGCCCAGCTTGCAGACCATCTCACCAAACCCCTGCCGATTGGAACGCTGCACAAAGTCATGAATGAAGGTTTTTGGACGCTTGTGTACGATCCTGATTACACCTCAGCCGAGCGTCTTAAGAAAGCAGCAGCCAAGAGTGAAGACTCCAACAAAACCCTTAGGGGCATGTCAGAATCTGAACTTGTTTGCTTCGAATCCCTTTACTTCAGTGCCATGTCTTGCAGGTCCTGATCTTTGTCTTCGATCTCCACTCTTGGCCCAAATGCCCAATCGCAGGGGACCCTTTTGCCTTTGTGCCATTTGCATGGCCCAACAGCTACGCCGAGCGCTCGTAGCCGGAAAACATCGTGTGTTTGCTGGCATTTTGCGATTTGCATCAGTGCATATCTCCTTTTTGGAAACAATCGAGCTTCCATCCTTTGAACTTGGCGTTCAACCGTGATAGCATTGGAATCTGATCATTTCTTCAAGAGAAAGCACACAGAGGCTTCAGTGCTACCAATAATGCAATGCAATGCAATGCAATGCAATGCAATGCAATGCAATGCAATGCAATACATACAATACATACAATACAAACACACATACAAATACACATACAAATACACATACAATACAAATACAAATACAATAAAATTACAAATACAAATGCGATACTGTACAATACAATACATACGCACATACATAATCATCATCCAGATCTCACTATCTGTTTTCAGGAGGTGTGTCATGGGTTTCCAGCCATTTCCATGCAGTTTCTTGGATGGTCCCAGGTGTCGAATGACAAAGGAAAGAGCAAGGAGCGAAAGGACAGCTGATGGCTGATGGCTGAACTTCGGAACTCCATGGTCTGGACAGATTTGGGAAAGTCGCCTGAGAAGTGGCTGAATTCTATGGTCTATGGTAGATATAACTATAGTTAATGGGGTTTATAAACCAACTTATAACTAGGGGGCACCATCCTGTGAAGTATCTGAGGTTTCATATGGGACATGATGTGTCAATTTGTTTAAGAAATTGCCTGTTCTAGCTGCAGCCCCGGCTCAAAAAAATCTCCGGAAAAACCCAACTGGACAGTCAGGAGAAGTGCTCGCCGTCCCCAAAGGGGAGAGCGTCCAATTCTCAGCAACTTTGCGGGCAGAGTAATTACTGTAAACGTTGAAAGGATATGATGTTTCCGGGTGCAATGACAAGTCAAGTTAAAGGTATAGATGTATAGTATAATAGGATGGTATGAGATGGTATTTTTGTTTCTTCATCGCTTGTATAAGCCCTCCAATTTCTTGGACTGATTCTCCAGTTGTCGTGGCATGTCGCGGCCAAATAACATAGACATGGACAGCCAATGGTTTCCGTTCGGGAGATGATCGCTACATTCATGATGGTTGTTTTCCATATTCATATGATATATGGGGGAATTACTGGAGGGTCTATCTCCGATTATCCACTGGTATTCGAATGATATTCCAATTCCAATGATATTTCATCGATAAATTGGAATCTCCAACAATATTCACTGGATATTCCAATGATATTTACCGGTAATTTGTGACAGTTTGCTATTGAAAATTGTCATTGAGTTCGTTGAAAATTGCCAATTTAGCCATGAGGCGATCGGATTCGCCTTTGTTGTCAAGGGCCCGAAGGGGGCTGTTGGGGGCTGAACTGGATATGATAGCTAGAGGTTACCATGAAAAGAGAGTAACAAAAAACCATGAAACAATGTTGTCTCACGGTTTCTTAATCGTTTTGGGGGTTGCTATTTTGTATACATAGCATACCATGTGCATTTACATTTACATTTTTGGTACGTTTTCTTCATCCCGTGGGGATCCTTGGGGCTTTGGTACAAAGGGAGGGTCCTTGGGGTAGCCCCAAAAATGGATCGTGCATACGACCAAACTGACCAAAATCTGTGTTCCAGTTGGTCGAAGATTGGGGAGAGATTGGTGGATCTACATCCCTCCATGAAACCACTGGATTTTTTTTGGGTAACTGGGTAGTCTATCCTTTGGCAAAACCATAGACCAAAAACCATGCCTTTGAAATTGCATCCCTTGTGCAAAGGTGGGGCTGGAAGAAGCGAGGAGCCTCAAACAAGCAGCTTGGACGCAGATAGTGATTTTGAGGCCCGAAGGAGCCACACATCATTTGTTAAAGGGAATATAGCAACCATCAGCCTACTGCTAGTACATACAGGGCAGCTCAATTTTGGGATCACTGGTTAGTGAGCAATTTGGTAACCCGAACAATAAACCCCGATACGATTTGGGATGGTTTACATCACCAGTTTATGGACATATTGGGTATCTTGGGCATGGTTTATTGTTGGGGTTACCACATTATTTGAGGCAAAATGATGAACACATGCAGTATATAACGTCTATGATTTTTGAACAAGCTGGTCACATTATATGGGGCTTACATGGGGTTACCGCATTGTCTGGACATCCACATTAATCCTTTCCCCTGACATTAAACACCCCCTAGAAACCATGGTTTAGAAGGGAATTTCCACAAGATTTTGGAACAAAACACATCCCTCAGGTTATCAATGTCGACCTCCTCTTTGTTGTCTTCAGCAGGTGCGTTGGGGGGTACCCGCCTCATCCTCGACCAAGTGTCGCACCCCGGCAAGTTGGGAACAAAGACTTTTGGAGCTATCGTATGCCCCAAAAAGTTCAAGAAAAGCTGTATGTTTATTCTTCACTAATGGGGGTAAAACAACAATAAACGACCCATTTGGGAATGGTTTATACCACCTATTTGTGGTGAAATTGGGGATGGTCTATGGCATTGTTTTACCCACATTAACTTCGAATTGGATTTGATCAGATTCTCCATCTTTTTGGGATTGCTTTGCATCCAACAGATGCAAAGGATGGGTTTTTTCACCCGAAATTTTGACCAAACGCGAGGCCGTCAAACGCCCCTGACACGCGTCTTGGAGGAGAAAGACGAGGCCTGGCAATGAGATCTGCCATGATTTCCGGGACGAATTTGGTGACAGATTATTAATGTTAAAGAATATGTTAAGCAGCAAGACGACAACAGCCGTCATTTATTGATACTTCCAAGCTGTAGACCCCAGTTTTGATGGTTGCGGCTCCGAGAAATTATCCAGTCCAGAAATGGTTGCAAAAGAAACATGGAACCATTTGCAAAAACTTTGATCACCCCAGAAGAGACAGATCTCTTAACCTTTGAAATAATGTAATTGGTCTAATAGTTGAAGAGCATTCAGCCTAAACATCAGTAAAGCCTGAGATATGGGACATGTTTTCTGACTTTTCCGCCGTGACAAGCCGCGTGCAACTCGCAGGCAGAAGACCAAGAGGTGCCACCAAGACGTCACCAAGACCTTGTTAGGGGACAGGGGTTGTATCAGTAAGACTATTTCCATTCATTGCCAGTTAGTGTATTTATTTCATTAATTTTCATTACTATTTCTAACGAGATTTATATTTAATACTATGAACCATGGGGGGGTTCTTATTTTTAATGGGGGATCCCAGTGTCAACATGGGTTTGAATACTAAGTCATGGGACTGGTTGAATTTTAGCTCATCCATGGCAACCAGTGACCAGGGCGGCTTGTCCTCCGTGCTGAATTGTATGGAAGACTCCATTCTGAGTCTGCACTGCTGGCCTGTCTTCCAGTTAATGCATGGTGACGTACCAGTGTCTCCATAGGGAAATATTTGGGAATGATATGTAATAGTGCAAATTCCAGAATTTTATGATGAGATATGATGGGAAAATCATTGAGAAACCGCCAACAATTTCATGGTAGAACCCATGGTTTCCAGAAATTCTCATCTGATTTCTCATCTTCTCAGGGTTTTATGCGGTGAGTTGCAGGATGTTACAGGCAACTGGGGTTTGGATTGATGGGACACTTCCTTTTTGAAGCAGTTGAACCCCCAATGGTTGGCTGCTGACCATCATCACATGTTAAATCATCCATGGATTTTCCCCAAACCATCCAGCTATTGGGGTACCCCCATGACTGTGGAAAGCCCCATTTACATCCATTGTATTGTAACTTTAGATCAAACATCATTTTCCATACATCCATTTGAATCAGCCAAATTGGAATTATCCAGAGACATCCTACATCTCTATCACGCTCTATTCGTGACTCCAGCTTTTACGTCATGAGTGGCCCAGTTTTATGCGCTCTTAATCCACACTCTCAATCTCTATCAACCCATATAGAATCATATATATATATATATACATACAATTATATATATATATAATTATATATATAATATATATACATATATATATATATATAAAAATCAGGTGAGTTCCGGCTGGAAACCAGGTTCCGTCGTGGCGGCTCGGGCGGCTCGACGATCACTGTGGTGCCGCCACCCATGACCCGATGTTCCGACGCGGCACGGAAGGATAGCGATGGAGGCGTGAATGGTACGCTTGTAGTGGTGACATGGTCCCAAACATGGGATGAAAGGCTTGAGAGGATGTGTATATATATATATATACTGTGTATATATATATACACACTGTGTATATATATAATATATACTGTATATATATTATATTATATATACATATATTTATTTATTTATTTATTTATTTCACTATGTTCACTAATTTATGGCCAGGGGATTTGGATTCAGTAAGAAATGGGGGATTTCTCTGGCCAGGCATAGGAGGCAGTTGATTTGGGATGGTCCAACCTTTTTTGGGGTTCGAATTTTCAACCACGAAACGGGGAACTGATAATGTCAGGCTCCGTGTCGGAGAGGACGCTGGCAGGCGGTGGCTGAGCTGAGGGGGAAGGTCCATGGATATTTCAATATATTTCAAAGTGAAGTTGATTCTCAGTTGACTCCAGAGACCTTTTTTTTGAAATGCAGTTGGTTGGAGGTCCCAAAAACAATTCACGTCTGCAGAATTGCGTTGATTTACCTGTTCTGCAGTGATTGCGTGAGATTCGACGGACCTCTGCCCTACGGGGGATGTTTTCTGCTTGCCATGCTGTGGATGAGCGATGTGGCGGCCTGGGGCGATTTCGCTGTGGAAATCAAGGAGTTCGGCCCGCCAAGCATACCGCCGGTGCTGTGATAGTACAGCATATGTTCAGGAGAAGGGCACCGGCTTTATCAAGGGCAATGCAAAACCTATCTGTTTATGTAGTTGTTCCATGTTGTTCCATGTTGTTCCATCTTCAACATGTCAGAGGCATTCAGCGGCATCATTCTCAAGTTTCTGTCAAGTCTGTTGGCATGATTCGTGGATAATTATAAGTGGAATATATTACCAACCCCCAACAACTTCTTATAATTTATTACTGTATATTCTGGGAACAAGTTCCGAGTCTGAGTCGGGGTCGTAACCGCAGCTTCCTTTGTCAACAGAGCTAAAATATTAGCATTATTTCTACTTGAATCCCAATTTTGTTGGTGGTTTAGTCTTTGCAAAGGTTTCAGTACCTTACTCTTTTGTTTATATCATTACCTTAAATCTTGTTTTTGGGCGAACAATATTATATATCCTAATTGGTTATTTGACATTGTTTCTATTGCGTTTTTGTAGATTATTTTTGCTGTTTCTGGTTATTGATCAACAAGTATGGTCTGTATGGTCTATGAATATAGTCTATCTCGATTCTTTGGCAATCTTTGATCCGTACTGCCGTACATATAGTCACAAAGGATATAGCTTCTTTGATCATTTATGGCCCAACCCCCAGCATATTTTCTTCAGATTTTCTCCCAGAATCGGTCAGGAACCCACAACTCAAAAAGATGCAGAATTTGGTAAGATCTAATTCTAGATCATAGTAAACAACTACACCTTTTCTGAATCTTTTTGGGGGCTTACTTCAATCCATTGTCTCCAGAATTGGTAGGGAATCAACCGAAAAGCGCTGAACATTGATTGTAAGCAATGTTTTTTTCCCAACATCCTAAGATTCAGCAAGTTGCCTGTTGGTTTTCCCCAAAAATCTGGGAACTCCCGTGGCTTTCAGGAGCTCTTCCAGGAGTTGCGGCACTTCTCCCAGCTCCCGCGGCCCCACGACGCCCAGCCCCTGGCGCGCCTGGCCCTCCGCGGGGCTCAGCTGACGCCAGCGCTGACGCAACGGCAGCGGGCGCTGCTGGCGCAGCGCCTGGAAGGGTTGGACTGGTGCTCCTGGGAGGTCTGCGAGGCGGCAAATTGGCTATGGATCAATACCTATAAAAATACAATTTTTTATGAGATGAACATCCATAAATCCCAGCTATTTTGATGTGAACAGAAGGGGGATAGGGTTTTGACCCATCCGCAATTGAATGGCCCTGTTGGAGTGAGGGTATACCGATTAAAAAACATGGGTTTCTGGACAAATCTCCATGGGTTATAATTAAAGGGGAACTTTGGAAAAGTATCCCGGCATGAAAGATGAGTTCGACTATAAAGCGGTCCCCAAAAAGATGCCGTCCGATGATGTTTCCGACTTTCCAGGCTTTGGGAGAGGATGCAGAGAGCTATGCAACTTGGTGGGAGGTGCTGGGAAATTTGCTCTTGAAGAAACAGCTGCTTCACAATTCGAAGGCCACACTTTGGAGATTACTCCTGACATAGACATTAATAGACATCATAGACCTTACATGGTTCCAAATTGGTCTCCGATTGGGCCAACCCAAAGTTTCAGAGGTGCCAGCCAAGGTCGACAACTTACTACCTGCTGAGTGGATGCTACTTTTGCGCTATTTCACCTCGTGTGGCTTCGTTCATCATGGCTTTTGCCAAGCAGCTGTTGCATGGCTGCAGTTTCACGAGGCTTCTGGGAAGCTGCAGCCGAAACAGCTGCAGGAGTTACTCAGCAGCCTGGCCTATGCGGGGCATCTCACAAGAGAGCTGGGAGAAGAGGTGTGTAAGACATTGAAGCCCTTGCCTACTGAAGCGGAAGAACAGGTGCAGTATGATCAGCATGCCAGTTTTGAAATGTTTTGAATGGGTTGAGTTTGAAGCTAAGAGGTAAGAGAGCCCTGAGTCTGGAGGTCGAGTGTAGCATTTGTATGCATGTGAGGGAACTTGTAGTACAGCCTTTGAACATGATGTCTTGCACTTGCAACTGTTTCAGAGCACTGTCTGACTATGTTGGAACGTTGCATCTTGGCGAACATGTCACATTTGTCAACGTGAATCACCGTGATAAATCCTCAAGAAGCAGCGAAATTGCCCAAGGGACACAGAATCTATAGGAGAGCAATCTCGGAATTTCATCTAAACTGCAGTACGACCAGGTGTTGGTTCGTTTGGCCACCACCTTGGCTTCTGTGGACGTGGAAACTCCCGAGTTCTATCGGCAAGTGCTGTCCACTGTGACCGCCCCAAAAACGGTCCCGGCCGGCCTCCCAGCTGGGGGCGCAGAGGAAGCCGAGGACCGTGGTACCACCATGGTTTTCAATAGACAAATGGCCGAATTTTCTGGTGATTTTTGGGGTACCCCCCATCTTGGGAAACCTCCATCCATATATGTATATATATATTATATGTATATATGTATATATGTATATATATATTTAAGGGCTGCCGCCCCTGCCGCCGACCCCGGACAAAAAAAGAGGTTCGCAGGAGAAGAGACGACATATTAACAGCGTCAAAATCGAGCCCAAAAACTCCACTGCTGCTGCTGCTGCTGCTGGTGCGGCTAAACTTGCTTGTCTTTGCTTTACTTCTCCTGCTGCTGCTGCGCCTGCTGCGGTAGTAGTCCGAAACAAGAGTCAAAAGTATTATTGCTGCTGCTGCTGCTGCTCCTGCTGCTGGTGCGGCTAAACTTGCTTGTCTTTGCTTTACTTCTCCTGCTGCTGCTGCTGCGCCTGCTGCGGTAGTAGTCCGCCAAAAACTGCCTAACGTCCCTTCTGAAACCCTAGAAAAACAATAGTTTTGGACAAGGTTTTATGGTTTTCGACCAATTTGTATACCACTGTTTCTACAATGAGACATAGAACCCTCCTGTTGCTCCTGTTGCTGCTGCTGCTCTTCCTCTCGAGGCTGAAAACACACCCTCCCGGACAGGGAAACACAGTGGACCCTGAACGGACGGGAACAGCGCCAAAATCGAGCCCAAAAACTGCCTAACGTCCCTTCTGAAACCCTAGAAAAACAATAGTTTTGGACAAGGTTTTATGGTTTTCGACCAATTTTTATACCACTGTTTC